AAGATAAGATAAGATAGGTCTATTTTTTTGGTTTTTGTTAGTGTGATAAGTTTTACCAATTATTTCATTTGTGTGTATGATAGTACTTTTTGGGGAGATTATCTTTACTTAGTTAGCATTTCATTGTTTAATTCATCATGATATTTATTTTTGTAATGTTACAATTTCTCTTTTTTTTGTGGGTGTGTATGATGGGTTTTTAAAAAATAATATCTTTGTGGATGGTCGGCGGATGCTCTGGTGTGGTTTGCTTCTTCTTTTCTATCAAACGTCTATCGCCTTTATCTCTTCTCCTTCTTTTTTTGTGTTTGTTACTTTCTTGTAACACCTCTAATCTTCGGCACTTATAATGACCGTATTGTGTGTTGCAAGTGCTGTAAAACTTTTACTTTAAAAAAAAAAAAATAATTTTTTTTTCCCTTTCGTAATAAACTTTTTTTTTGTTTCGTTTCCTCGTCAGTTTGGTGTTCCTGCTGCTGTTCAACGCAGTGCTGTTTTATAAACTCTGGTCGCTGGAGAGCTACGCCAGCTCACTGTACGGAGTCCCCACGCAGGAATCTCTGGAGAACTTGGCGTGAGTTACGCTCTTTTGGTTTTTTCTTCGTTTTCTCTTTTCTTTCTTTCTTTTTTCTTTTTTTCTTTTTCCCTTTTCTTTTTTATCCCTCTTCTTTTTTTTCTTTTTTTTCTTCTTTTTTTTCTTCTTTGTCTTCTTTTTTATTATTTTATTTTATTTTAATTTATTAAAAAAATTTTTGTAAGTGTTTTATGGCTCGCTACCACATAAGGTCATATGAGCGCGCGGGACACATTAACATTAAATGGTTTCAGTTGGTAGGAAATTTAGAATTTTGCCTGGGTGGCGGCCGAAGCCTACGTGCATTTCGTAAAACTAATTACAGAATCACATTCAGTGCCGTTTTTTTCACCGTTGTTTGCTGTTCATGGTGGGTAATGATGGTCACCCAGCGCTTTAAATAAACGAATCCTGAAACGTGGGTGGTTGGCGGGAGCTCTGGTGTGGTTTATTCCTTCTTTCCAATCAAACGTCTATCGTCCTGATCTCTCCTTTTTCTTTTTTATGTTTGTTACTCTCTTGTAACACCTCTAATCTTCTGGCGCTCATATGACTTTATGCAGTTGCGAGCGCCGTAAAACCTCTACTAAAACTAAACAAAAAAACCTGAAACTTATCTCTACAACTTTTAAGCCATTCTCTGTGCTGTTCTGTGTGTGTCTTGTGCTATATATAGGCCTTCTGAATGTAGCACACTTGAGAGGGGAGGGG